AAGATAGCTCCCTGAGGCAGAGATGAATTCGTTCTTCATATTACTTCAATGTAATTGTTATTACTATTGTTGTTTCACCTACTTTGGTTTTTATCTTTGTCAACTCTTTCTGACTGTTGATCTAATTTAAGATAATTTGGATAAATGCAAATTAATCCATTATTCTATACTCTTGATGACTGATCGGTAGCAATTTTAAGACTTTTAGTTTTATATAATTTTCGACACTCAATGGTATAACTGTAAGTTATTTATACTGTCACCGACTGATGCTTACTCTTATTCCATTTACTGAAAGAAGTTAATTATTGATAAGAATGTAGGTGTATTTTTACTATAACTGGATAAAAATCATGACTCATACTTAGTAACTGTTGGTATTATTTTAAGTTTGTATTTTAATGATTGATTTCAAGAATAAGTATAACTTCACAAAATTATAATGAGTTAGACAATTAACTAAGTCAATTGAAGCTAAACCACCATGGAAAACCTGGAAGCACCGGATGGCCATTTCATCCTAGTATGGGACTCTTCAGCAGTGCGCATCCACGATCCCGCCCCCCCACACACACACGAGATTCAAACCCAGGACCTATCAGTCTCGCGCCACGCACTTAACCAACTAGACCACTGGGCCGGCATCCAACAGTGTTAATGTCTACCTTCAACTAATACACGAAATTGCACCACCGCACACCATTGTCTTCAGTGAGTTGATATCTCATAACAGACCTAGTTGAACTTCACAGGTCACAGCTTCTCACTAGAACTTCAGGAGTATCTCTTGAAGTCAGTCACTAGTGAGCAGGTCCTGGGTTCGAATCTCGCGTGGGGGGGGGCGGGATCGTGGATGCGCACTGCTGAAGAGTCGCATACTAGAACGAAACGGCCATCCAGTGCTTCCAGGTTTTCCATGGTGGTCTAGCTTCAATTGACTCATGATCTTAACTATTGAAATTACTAAAATCTCCACATAACCCCTTCTGATAATTAACTAAGTCACTTACTTACCAGCGTCACACAACTTTGAACACTTAACTTATCCTCATTTATAATGCCATAAGAAGTGTCCCATTATTAAATTCTTTCACATAATTAAAATTGATAAGATTCAGTGGCCATAATCATAATCAACATTTTTGTGTGTATTTAGAAATACATTAAAACTTGAAAATCAATCGATACATATTTTAAAAGAAACGGTTGACATGAAAAAAGATTATGGAAACACAAAGATAAGGGTATTAGTAGTTGAAAAAAAGTCATATGATCATGTGTAACAGGTATGACCCTATATTGATTTGTAATCGTTTGAGTTCAAGCATTAGAGACTTCAATATATATATATATATATATATATATATATATATATATATATATATATATATATATATATATATGATGCCTTCATTTTTAGTAGAACTTTCTAAACTAGATTATTGACTGATTTACTTTATTCATAATGCTAGTATATATTTATTTTAATTTACGGATAAGGTTACCATCAATTGTCTTTTTACAAGATTAACAATTAGACCATGATTCTGTGAACATGTTATTGATAACATGCATGTTTAAAACTGCTTAAATGGTTAACTACACATAAACAATTATTGAGTTCAGTTGACCATGTAAATGAAGTGTACATACGCATTAAAAATTATATATATTCATTATATTCGAACGTTATAACATCACAATACCTATTTGAATCTTCAAAATTAAAATGTTACTTGTATCTGAACACCCACGAAACTACTATATCTTTATAAGTATAATAACAACTGTCCAGACTATTACAAGTACATTGTTTATTATTCTGCACTTTTATAGATGTTAACGATGCCCTTGTTTATCAATCATTAGTTTTTTATGTTCTTTAGTTTCTCTTAGCTCAATTGCTACATAAATTAACATTATTTTAATGGTGCTTTCTGTCTTATAGAAAATGGAAATATTTTTTACCTCCACTCACTAGTGTTTAACCTTTTTTTGCTCATATGAATTATTGATTTGTTTACTGATTAAAACAGTGAAATGAATCAATTAATTGACATTTTAATTGTCTATGTGTAAACATATATATATTCAATTACACATAAGCTATACAGTAAATTACATAATAATATGAATTTTTGAATTCAATTACTTGTGTTCTTTTACCTAAGCTCTTCATTTTATTTCATCTTATCCATTTGAATGTGAAGTGAATCTGACTAATATTGACATCATCATAGAAAAAACTAAGTATTACTGATTAAAGATTTTCTGTTTATTGGGAATTGACTGACATTAAAAGACTTGAAATTTTACTAAATGTTAAGATTTGAATTACTTATCGGATGGGTTTTGAAGTGTTGAAGATTAGACTGTTTAGCATGATATAAATTCCTCGTTACTCGTTTTGAGGTTTAAAAGGTTAAGTTAATTGTTTCTTAAATGATGAACACCGTATCCAGTCATTCATTCCTATCCTCGTTTCGACGTAAATAGTTTATGATTGTGAAGATATCTCTTACGTCCTTGATCTATCTACCCACCAATATACAGAAGGTAGTTTGTCTCAATCTAAGTTAAGACTTTGACACGATAGGCTGACTGGTTTAACCTCGAGGCTAGAATCGTGTGAGATCGAAATGAGACTAACTGCCTTGCATAGAGAGACAAAAACTATTCTATCACCTGATTGGTTGACAAGCGCGCACGAAAGAAGACGAACCAACTGGAACATTACTCGATTTATTCCTTATTCCGATTCAGATTAGTGCAAAAAGGTACATGAATAAGTAGATGACTAACATGACCACAACGAACAAACAATTAGAAAAATACAATTATATCCAAAACTGGTGTCTAGAGTAACTTTGGAACAAAAATGGGTATGACAGTAAGTCATACATCAAACAAGTTTATGGTCTGTAGAATGAACTAGGGGTGAAAATAAATGTTAGTGTTTTACAGGCTTTGAATTAAATGACATAACGTCCCCAAAAATAGTATCCGTAGTTTATCATAGCTTCTTGTTTTTCTGTTCACATCACTGAGTCGTCTTTACACCCTTCTCTTTATGTGACTAGAAAATCTCCTCCACATAGATTCACTCACTTTCATTTAGTGTATGACTGTGCCTTTTTTATTATGCCATACAACCACCTTAATTTGAAACTGTGGAAAATCCTCACCAAAAAAGCTTTCTCAAGAGAAAAACTTTCAGCATTAACAGCATCATTTACGGTTATAATTCCAAGTTGTGCAAAATCATTCAAATTTTCCGCTAAAATATATTTTTTACTGGCGACCTCTCACTCATTATTGTGGGAATCTGTGTTGAGTGCCAGTAGTAAATTCTGTACGATTTCTTCCACTGCTCCTCTGCCTTATGCCTTCTGAACTGCTTTTCTAGAGAATCAATAACCCGTCTTGTTTGACCATTTAATTGACAGTGGTATGATGAGAACCTTAAGTGATCAACATTGCTTTTCACACAGAAAACCTCGAACTGGATTGAAGTAAACGGTGTTCGATTGTCAGAAATATTGCATGTGGTGGTCCAGAACGACCAAGCAATATAAGTTTCCATACCGTAGCATTTGTAAAAAGACTGTTCACCATAAAAGCTTTTGTCCATTCTGAAAATAAATCGATTATAATGAGGAACTGTTTTTCCTGGAATGGTCAATTAAAATCTAGGTAAAAGAGTGACAAAAGTCCTATTGGCGCTGATCATGGTCACAGTTCAGCCTTAACACAGATTCCCGCACAAATGAATGGGGGATCGGCAATAGAAAGCATATTTGGGTGGAAAATTAGACCTTTCGAGTGTTAATTTGGTTGCATTTGGATATATACATAAATTTAATTTCAATGAAATAAATAAAAGTCTACTTTAATTTACCAAACGTCAAAATGCTAAGTTTTACTATATTGAAACATTCTTATTACATTTTGCTTGTACATACAGTTTTCATTGTTAAGCCCACTTGACGAGCAGAACAATAACCCATTTTCATGACTACTTTACTTACACATACAAGTATTTTTGGTCATAATTTTAAACTGCTCAACTAAAAAGTGTGTTCGGGTAAAAACAATGGATTAGCAAAATAACGCAATTACATTGTTGCAGGAGTATAACACGGTAATGAAATGAAGTTGGTGTATTTTCTTTTAAAAAAGTTAACATTTTTATCAAAACTCGGATGGAACAGTCAGAAAGCATTATTTTTCGATTTGAACAGTTTAAACCATGAGCCAATTGAAGCTAGTGTACCATGGAAAACCTGTTAATGTTTAACTTCAACTAATTCACGAAATCTTTGTAAATCTCAATTGATTATATTGCTTAATGACTAAGGCTTAATTTGAATTATCCAATGTAACCTTGATTAGGTAATCACAATATAGCACTATGGGTGAACAATGAAGTAGAAAGAGAATCTAGATAAGTTTTCAGATTTAATTTATTTAGTTCATAAGTGGACGTGATTGTTCATTATTTTACATTGTCATCTGTCTTTGTTCATATAGTATAAGCTTCAACTACTGTTATTTGTATTTCATTATTGCCCAAAGAAACTTTTGCAATCATGTGTTTGCTAGTTAGTTGTTGCTATGCTTTTTTAGATTTTGACTTTGACTTTCTGCCTGTTACTCCCAATGGAGCATAGGCCGCCGACCAGCATTCTCCAACCCACTCTGTCCTGGGCGTTCTTTTCTAGTTCCATCCAATTCTTGTTCTTTTTTAGATTTAGAGTATTTAAAGTAGACCTGATATTATACCACTATCTGATATCCTGTTTAGTTAGTTTTCGCAGTTCTTTAGACTATGGTGTGCTTTTCAATTACAAGGAAACTACATTCATAATACATTGATTTTAATTACTAGTTCGTATCAAGTGAATCATCTGAGCGTGCACACACATCAATTTGATAAATTGTATTTACTGTTGAATTTATTCATGTTTTTTTTATTTGATCTTATCTATTGATTGTTCTAGGATTGCTGTGTAGTCAGTGATGAATTAAACCATACAAGTCTAGTCTTGGGATGCCGATTGTCGGGAGCAACTATACGTCGTTTTAAACATAATGATATGGAAGATTTGGAAAAAGTCCTGCAAGATTCTGTTGTTTATGGTCGTCCACGTACCCACAGACCATATAAAAAGATCTTGATTGTGGTTGAAGGTATATACAGGTAAATATTTCTAGTTAATTTGTTTTTGTCTTGAACTGTGCCATATGTCTATGTAAAAAACCAAAATAATTTAGGCTCACTTTTATTAAATTACACAGTTTCATTTAAGCACAAATGTTATCTCTCGTTCATTTCCTATCACGAAGCAAGTCCACTTTCAACTTAATTGTTATCTAATGATTATCTTCACACTTTTCACACAATATCACGTGACAAGTATATCTACTTTTGTTTGAATAGTATTTCTAGCCCGAATACAGTAAATGTTGCTCATATCCTACCTTACGAATTTGTACTTGTATTATCATTTTGATTGTGTCGATGTTTATCACTAGTTAAACTGTACGGTTACAAAAAAGCAATTTAGTGAGATATACAACATAAAATGGGTGAGACTATAATTAATGGACGACCTTTGAGCGACGCTAAAATGACCTAAAGAATGTCCACCTACTAACTAAGATTAAATGAGGATTATAAACCAGTGTAAGGAATCAAGATTATGATTTAGTTGATGGTTACGAATTATGTTTAGGGTTTTCATCACTAACAGCTAAAATGCCAAAACGCTATTTAGCCAAATGGATGTATGAATTTAAAGACAAAGTCCAGGATCTGTTATCTTATATCTGATTGGTTTGTCCATAAATTATAGCCTTGCCCCTGAAATGAATGAACTGCAAGATTGTTTAGCTAGTTTAAACGATATTTCTATCATAATTTGTTCTATTATTACTTTAATGACTCATGAAAATCAAGAATTAGTGCAGTGTATTTCTTGATTACGAAACATTTTAATACTATATATTCTGAAGTTCATAAATTTGATTTTATGGTTGAATTGATGACTGTTGTATTATTATTTGATTTGATCACTGACAGGCTGACCAGAAATTCAACCTGGAACACTGTTGTGTCACCTCATACTGTATTTAGCAATTTTAAGACTCAAATTGAATCAGTTGATAAGCACAAAATGCTAAAAAGATGTGTAAGTACATTAGTATATTTAATATGTTTGAGAAAATTGAAATGTCAGTTCATCTATCGTACCATCGTTAATTTTTAGGAGTAAATAAATGTCTCTATGACCAATGCCTGCTGCCTCGCAGAATATATACAGATTACTCTATGCTAGTGTTACAGAGCCACTACTAATTATTTCTCAAAATAGCAAGCATTGATAGTTAGATACACTTATTTACGCCTAGAAATCAACTATGGTATGATAAATGAAATGACCTTTCATTTTTCTTAAATATTACTAAACATACTACTATATGTACACATCTTTCCATCATTTTGTGCTTATATATATAATTCTTGAACTTATGCAGTCCGATTTGCAATATAATTATAGGTATGATAGTGATCAATCAAATGGTAAAGTAACATGTTAACATGAACAAGTATTTTAAAGTTGTAAGTGTTGGTCAAACTTAAGAGAATAATCTTCACGTAATACTTCTAAGAATACATCTAATAAAGCAAAGGTATAAAACAGGTGACGGGAATTAAACTAACTGTATCAAAAAATGGTAAAAATATAAATAAAGTTTCTTCTGATTAGGTAAGTGACATGGATATTTAAAAAACCAAGTTGGACTTCTCTGGAGAAAATGAAAAGTATTTGATAAATTATTCTGAATGATTTAGTTCTAGCGTCTACATAAACGCTACTAACCAAATTTGATTAAACCGATTTTTTACTGACTTTCTTTAATCTCTTCAAAACCTTAAGGAGAGATCCTCACTAACTTGTTAAATAAATTGAGTGTTCAAATACATTACAGAATCGCTTGATGGGATATTAGAAACATACACTGAATACTTTATTTGCTAATTTCCATCATCTGTCATTTACATTCCGTATGATTCTTTCAGTCCACAATTCTCTTCTATTTTCCTTTCCATTCTCTTCAACTCGATCTTCTTAGTCTTTTTGCTGCCAGGTTTTCCACTTCTGATTAGTGTTACATACTACTTATGTCGACAAACATAAGTAACATACACAACAAATGTACATTGAAGTGATATAGTCGGATAACTTATAATTATTATCCTGAAAGCTATTGATCTCAATAAATAACATTATTAAAAATTATTTCATAAGTATGTGCTCATGTTTGTTCTTTGATTTCAAAATGCTTTTAAAATCATTTTTCTATTTTCTCTTATTTATTTGTTAATCAAATTACACAACTTAATATATTTTCACATATTCGAAAATGATCCCATATTTATTGCTTTTGCATTGTTGTTGATCATTTATTCCCGGACTGATTTTTAACGTTGAGTTTAATTTGTACTTCAATATAAATATTCCACTAGAAATAGTTGGTATTAAATATCTCTGGATCTAAACAGTTTCCAGTATCATCGAACAGTGCTTGACATGTATTCTGTTGGAGTTATTTGTACAATCCATTTTGTATTGTTCATGGACAAGCAATATTCTTCTAGAATTGATGTATAACCTTCTAAAGTTTCATATTAATTAGTAGCCTCATAAATAAACTTTTGTTTATTATGAATTATATTACCTTTGAGATAATTATCCAATTTCTCTTGTTTACTTGAAGTATTTTAATCTATTGTAGGTGGATAGAACGACTAGTTAGAAATAGAAATGATATAATGAATAGTTTATTATGACAGCCTACATATTATAGTGTATCTCCATAGTTTTCTTCAGTTAATCTAAACTAAGTACCGTAAGTGTATAGAGATAAAGTTTAAATCGCTTATAAAAATAATTCAAATGACTCATGATTTCAACTAATGAAATTACTAAACTCTCCACAGAAACCCCTTCTGATAATAATAATCTGCTCACTAGTGACTGACTTCAAGAGATACTCCTGAAGTTCTAGTGAGAAGCTGTGACCTGTGAAGTTCAACTAGGTCTGTTATGAGATATCAACTCACTGAAGACAATGGTGTGCGGTGGTGCAATTTCGTGTATTAGTTGAAGGTAGACATTAACACTGTTGGATGCCGGCCCAGTGGTCTAGTTGGTTAAGTGCGTAGCGCGAGACTGATAGGTCCTGGGTTTGAATCTCGTGTGTGTGTGGGGGGGCGGGATCGTGGATGCGCACTGCTGAAGAGTCCCATACTAGGATGAAATGGCCATCCGGTGCTTCCAGGTTTTCCATGGTGGTTTAGCTTCAATTGACTCATGGTTTCAACTATTTAAAAAAATAGTATAATTGCCAAGCAGATTAAAGGTGTAAGCTATACTACTTAAATGATTGTTTAAAAAATATACGAAACATGAAATATTCACCAAAAAGATTCATTATCTTCATTTATTTAACATGGTTTATCAGAAAAGTTATCTTAACATTATTGATATCTTTTTTATAATGGTATTAACTAGCAAGTATTATATCAAATTAAAATTATTATGGATTTGTATTGAATAAAATGAATGATTTTTCAATACATGTAAATTACTTACCGAAAAATACAGTTGAAAAATGATTCCTTAAAATAAAGTACAATATCATGGTTATTATTGTTCATCAATATAAATGAATGTGAGAGACTATTGAATATACTTTTTACTTTTTTACTGTGACAATCTTTATTTGGTAGAATATAATTCCTATTGAACCGATGAGAATAATAATATATAGTATTTTAAATAAGAACTTTCGTCTAAATCATAAATGTACAGTTTTCAATGGTCACAAAGTAGAATAAAATAGCTTTGCAGTTAATTAAGGTCCGTACGTGTTTCGAACAATAAAATTTAGAAATCTTCACAAACCCTTATTACTAGAACATAGTAGTAACAATTCAAGTTACAAATTATCTCTTATTATTTAAACACTATTTAATAATTACCGATCTCATGTTTCTCTGTAGTAGTATTTTAATACGATTATTTTAAACACTAAATTCAATTATGACTCAAGTGCAATTATCTTAGTTCATATTTATTTTCGATTATGTATTTATATTTACACAGTATGGAAGGAAGTATTCTTCATCTTCCCGAAGTAATCGCTTTAAAGAAGAAATATAATGCTTATCTTTATTTGGATGAAGCACATAGTATTGGTGCATTAGGTCAAATGGGTCGTGGTGTAGCTGATTACTTTGGTGTTGATCCACGTGATATTGATATTTCAATGGGTACATTTACGAAGAGTTTCGGTTCATGTGGTGGATACATAGCTGGAAATCGCAAGTTAATTGACTATCTTCGTTCGATGTCATATAATGTTGTATATGGTTGTAGTATGTCAGCCCCAATAGCTCAACAAATTATATCATCCATACGAATTATCATGGGAAAAGATACACCTGGTGAAGGTGAACGAAGGTAAAATTAATCACATTACTGTTATACACATAAACTTATTAGTTACTCTAACATAATTTACGTTTTAGTATTTCTGAGAGAAACATTTCAATAAAATACTGTTTCCTCACACAATCAATGCGCACAATTAAGTATAACATTATATGCATTCACAATATACTTAAATCGGTAAAACGGCTGAAATTATACCTTTAACTCAAATTTATGTAGCTATATTGTTGTATTATCCATAGTAAATCGACGGTTTGTAAGTAATTCAACATACAAACAGGTTCCCTTTAGGTAATTCAAGTCATATATAGCAGAATGTTTAGAAGTGACACAATCTGTCTCCATAATTAATCAAATGTTAGTGATTGTACAAGATAGAACCGATATTTCTAAATGATTTTCTTATTATTCACCTTCTTTATGTTCATTAAACAGAAAACGTTAGTTATTGTCTTTTATACTCAGCTTTTGATGAGCATACAAATATAGGTTTTTGTAATGCATGAATCATCATTAAGTGGTTCTTAGTCTATCCCAATATTAGCATACTTGTATGCATGTGTTGTTTAGCGAACGAAGTATAGTTGACGTAAACACGAATTCCGAATGAATTTCTGATATTCTTGATACGAATGAATGCTGAATACCTAAACGTTATTCTTGGAAAACTATTATTTGTACTTTGTTGTGCTTACTGTTCCTACATATGTACAGTATGGTATACCTATTACTCCTTGTAGAGCATAGGCCACTAACCACGAATCTCCGACCGACCCTGTCTTAGGCTCTCCTTTCCAACTGTTTCTAAATGATATTCATTCCTTTGATGTCTCCTTCCAGTTCCCGGTTCAATGTGTTCTTTTGTCCGCCTCTTTCCCTTTCACCTTGGGAACTGCTAGTTAGGGCTTGCCTACTGTTTCTACATACATGGGAATAAAGATCATGTTGATAAACTAATCAAATATTTATTGAAACTAACGATGATGTGTGTAATAACTAAGTAACCTTGCAATAAGTTCGTATGGTATATTTCTTATATGAAGATAGATTATTTGACCCGATGTTTTAGCTACTGATAGCTGGTATGTGAAATAACAAAAACTGAGATTCACGTGGTCGAAGGAAGAAGATAAAAATTGATGTCAGATGAAGATTTTATTCACCCTACAAAAATACAATAACCTATTAACTAAATATACTGCTTTTTATCCAGATATTACTGGGATAAGATAATTAGTTAATGAATATCACAAGTAACGGTAACAGTGGGAATGTGAAGATGGATTCTTCATTAAATACAAACGAATTCTAAATGAATATCATTAAATCAAAACACGATACCTCGTTTCATCTAGTCTTAACTCTCAACTTCTCAAGGCGAGTATAAAAATTCTAAATCAGTGGTTTATCCACAACTTCATATTGAGATGAAGATAATTAAAATTTGTTTCAGTATTCTAATGAAACTTGGCCGGTTAATAACACTGCAAATAATATCGAATATTACATTTCATTGGCGAATAATCTCATTCGGATTTAATCTTAATTAATTTGTCGAGATATATAGTAGTAAAACTTTAAACCTCAGGTCCCCTTTCCCTTAATCCTTGATTGTTTATGACTAGTAAATCTTATCGATGAAAAAGCTATGATATCAATATCACATGCAGAACCCTAGTGACACGAAAATCATATTCTTATCCGAATATATAGTAGTTTTGTAGATGATATTAAAAAGAATTAAGCTATAAACTTTTATTTACACAACGGAATACAATTTTAACTTTAAGTGTACTATTTAATGTCAAGATATGAGGTACTGAGAGTAACCAAATCATAGACAAGAAAGTGACTATCCTCAGTGCTATCACCGAACTCGTTCAAATGTGTAATTAACAAATGAGGTTATTGATTAAGATTATTGTAGTTAGTATATATGATAAATTATTGAGACTATGAGAAACCAGTGTAAGTAAAATGTTTACAATTACCCCTGAACCGCACAGAATATCTGTCTATTGATAAAATTTGTTTCACTGACGTACATTGGTGAATATTTGAGCTCATAATTTAAGTATCCGTTTACTAAAATCTGATACTCTCAAACCTTGCGTGATACATGATGTGTATGCTTATGTATATGAATTGCATGAACATTGGCTGGTGTAGTTGTGTATGTAGGTATATACAAAGGGTAGTTGCCTGGTTTTCAAAAGGAGCGCAACTTGAAATGTCTGCTTTAAATCTAATGAAATCAGCGGCCTAAACCAAGAGTTGAAGACATAACAAAAATATACGGTAGCAAATATAAGGGAGAAGTGAAAGTGTTTATACTTATGTGTCTGTCATGAAGTGCATGAACAAAGGTCTTCGTATTAGTGGTATGCATATAATGAGTAAGAAACAGTCAGTTTTAGCATATACGTTGGAAGAAAATGGTAACCGTCTACTCTTTTAGTTGTTTGAATATACCTTTATGTATACTATGGGATGTTGAGTGAAAACGAGTATGTTACCGGCATGTATGTAAAATATATTTGCTCCCATAGTGGTTATAACTGAGTGCCAAGAGACACATGGGTAGAAACGTGTATGTTACTGGTATGTATGTAACGTATACCTGTCTCTGATGCGACGCCCGCGCGAAAACTTAGGGGTATCCATTTCCCACGAAATCACGTAAACCGTAGACATCGAATTTACAGTTGAATCGTCCGCGGAGTATCGAATGTTTGAGTTGCTTAAATCTGTCAGATCTACAACACGTTGATGTGTAATTCTAAGAAAGTTTCAGGTCAGCACAAACAAGAACAGGCATTTAATCGCAAAGTAGCTCGATCGAAAACATATTTTCATGAGTAGAAGTTTCAATAGGAGCCGAATTCAAAACTTCTATAAATCGTTCCTGTATAAAATAGATATTTCTTATTAGATCTTCTCTTCATGGGTTTGAACCTGTAATCTTAAGGCTATTTGGTAAAAAGTTACAGCTTAACCACTAAAACGAAGTCGAAATACAAACATTACTTTAAATATGCGATGACATTGTTTGCAATCATGTTTGAATATTTACTTTTTAAAAGTTACAAAAATAGTTTCTGAATTGTTTGGTCTTATGTTTTTATTTCTAATCATTTCAGACTTAAATGTTTAGCTGAGAATATACGTTATTTTCGTGCAAGATTACATGAAATGCGCTTAATTGTTTATGGGAATCGTGATAGCCCTGTTGTACCAGTTATCATTTGTATGCCAGCTAAACTAGTTACCTTTTCGCGTAGATGTTTAGAATTAGGATTAGGAACTGTAGTCGTTGGTTTTCCAGCTACAACTCTGCTTTTATCCAGGGTACGATTTTGCATTTCATCAGCACATACACGAGAGTTATTAGACAGGGTGAGTTTCTCGTTTTTTTCATTTATTTTACATTAACTACTAATAATAGATATCCGTGATCAAAAGTAGTCAGCTAAAATTATGTTTGAGTCTATGGCTATACTATATATCTTGGTCAATTTTACTGATAAAATCAGATTATCATTTTTAGATACCCTTGGAATTAACTTAATAGATCTTACATATTTTTATTCATTAAACCTTGAAAAACGAGGTTCATGTTGATTTTTCATTCAGGATGTTCGTGGATAATAGATGACTGGAGAGTAGTTAGATGGCAATATTATAATCATTTGGTCCAAGAGCGAATCTAAGTTGTTTCTTTTTCAGAGATACTTTCTCTAGCAAGAGACTTTGTATTACCAGTCTCATGAATGAGTTCAAACAAGCTGTCTAATGTTGTCTGTTATTGCTATCTTCTCCATTTCCTTGATAAACGTTGGCAACAACTGCTTTCGGTCTTTGAGAAAACTTTTGTCATTCTACCCTTTAGTTTGCCTCTGTTCATCATCATGTTTGAGAAGGTTGCGATGAGTTTAAGGCAACCTAGCAATTCAGCAGAAGCTACCAAAACCCACTTAGCTTTCCTAACATAGAAATTTAAGATGCTAACAGATGTCTGTAGATCTCATTTTTAATTCTTTTGAGTTGCACTCGATGGTAGTGGGGACAGGGATGACGGACAAGTGATGATGTGTTTCTAAGTTCTTACAGAGCCATTCATTCACAAGTGACTATAATCAAAAATATAGTCCATGAATGTCATGCTACTGGAGTTAGTGCTACATTCATACGTGTTTGAGTGTGCTTAATTCGTAACTTGAGCAGCTTTCCGCACTGGTTATATGAGGTCAATTGAACGACTATGTGTTGGTCCTGTATGTGAGTTTTAAACACACACACACAATACATCAAAATCTTGGCTGATGAGCTCCATAGTTTGGTTTGATACACGGTCTAAAAACTGAAGGCTCCAACATGCAGTGTAGTAAAAATTTCAGCAGATCATGGATAACATTTCATTATCTCAAATCGTTAACATTGGTTGAACATGAAAAAGACAGCTGGATCAAAGAAGATGTGTTGTCAACAAGAACAGAAAAATTAGTGAGAAATAAGGAACGAGTTTGATGGAGATGAATATAAAGTTGAATACTTGTTGGAGTGTGTGAGATATTGAAACTCCTTGTTTTCTGACATTACGAATGGATAATGCTTCATGTGGAACTCGTAAATAAAGATTGGTAGTCGTTAGTAGCCTGTGTGACTTTGGAGCGTGATCACAAAACATATCGGACAATTGGTTTATGTCAACAGTATATGATTATTTAGGAATAGTACTTATTGTTCTAACTTAATGGTTTTCAGATCTCGATATGGATTGTGAAAGTTCATGTGACAATATGAGTTAAGTTTTTTCAGGTTTGTTCTTTATCAACTTTTTTATATTTGGGAAAAATAGCAAATCTAAAAGTACTGGAATTTATTAAGTAATGTCTTACTATCAGCTGTGTGACTTTCCCATCTGAACCTAACTTTGATAGGCGTAGTCTTATATTCTCTGGATAAACCTGCCTGATATTGTAAGTTCTAAAAAAATAACTATTATATTTAACATATCTTGGTAGAGTGCTCACGATGAGGAAACTCGACCACTGTGTAGAAATATCACCAACTTTCCGGATAATTAGATAAACCAAATTAAGTATGCTTCTCATTTATGCTCAGTTGATATCGAATTAAAATGCGTTTTATTTCTAACTAAAAAATTTAAATAATATCCGTTTTTTTATTTCTAAATTTCTGTTATTCAGGCATTAAACATAATTGAACAAGTTGCTGAAGAATTAGGAATTTGTTATAGTAAGCAACCGATTCCAGAATGGGCTAAAGAAGTTTTATACAAAGATAAAAGTCATGGTTATACGAATGGTTTCTTAAAAAATATTGAACCATCAGTAAACAAACTACTTAAGAAGTCAGCTCTTACGGATTCTGTAAGTAATTCAATCAGTCTGAGAAAACGCTGTTTAAAAAGAGATACCAACGAAAAATGTGGAATTAACACACACTTTTAGCTATGTAAGTTTTTTGAAGTGTTACTTTGTTAATTATTTTCTTGCTCAAATCTTTTTAATATATTCGTTCTACTTATATATCGCAAGATCACTTCATTTGAGATATATTACTGTTTCTATGGAACACATTATTTCAATTGGAAATTATAACAATAATTACAATCTAAATCTTTGACGAATAATTTATTTTTGAAATTCTCTGTTTTTTCTTGTCAAGTTATTCTTGTTATTCTGTATCCACTGTTAATCTTTTCTCAATTCGATCACTAAGATCTCGATGAATTGTTGTTTGAAATTCTTTACTGTATACGCTACTTACTTGATTACCTACTCCTGTTTCCCCTCATACAACATATGGTGCCGACTAAGATTACCCATTCAACTCTAGCCGGAGCTATCGTTCATAGTTGTTTTCAAATGCTACTCATTCTTTTGATGTCGCCCTTCAAAACCCAGTTCAATGTAATCTTTTGTATGCTACCTTTACTTTTGCCTTGAGGATTCCACGTAAGGGTTTGCCTCGGATGCAGTTTGATGATTTCTGCAAATTTGATTGGGTTGGTGCTTTCTGTGTTTTATTTCAGGAACTTGCTTATTCCCTTGTGTATGCTAAGGCCTTCAGAGCCTGTTATTACATTAGCTGTTTCCACCTTCATTTGTTGGTGTGTATGGCATAGAAGAGCTACGTCATCTGTAACTTTGTGTATTCACTTGTGGGGAATATGATGCCACATATAAACGTTTTGTCGAATGCAAATAAATTTGCAAATCTCTCACAATTCCCGTTCCTTTCTCCCAGTCAGTCCATGTCGTCCCATGATATCTTCATATCCAGTGTTGCCCATTCAGACTTTGGTGTTTAAGTCTACCATCAAGATGGTCAGGTTCTTTTCTAATCACTTCACTACGACCGATTGCAGCCCCTCATAAAACTGAACTTAATCTTCGTCATTGCTATTATTGGTTGGCGCATAACACTGGATAACATTCATTGCGATTCCCTCCTTCTATATTTTGACCGGTGCTTTAATGATTCTGGATCCATGAAATTCCTATCCTATGAATGTTTTACGTGCTTCATTGAAAAACATCAGGGCAACTCCCTGAGTGCATTTTCACCCTCGTGATTAGAGTAAAACATCATCTCTCCCGAATCTATCCTTTTCTGTTCAGCTTGGATCCAATGGGTTTCACTGATTTTGAGTACTGTCAAGTTGTATCTCCACATTTATGTTGCTAATTGAGTAATCCTCTCGGTCTCCCACATTGTCCAGACATTTTACTTACCTATATTAATCATTACACTTGTTGTTAAGTCAATTTAAAAACAAGAGTCCAGATGAGTAATCACCTTGTTCTGCCAATGTACCTACATTAATTGTTGGTCTGGCTGTTACAGGGGGCATGGGCCCCGTGACTTCCAAAAAATCTCAGCTTTCGCAATGAGGCATCGTAACTCTTTTTTAAAGTCGGAGGACAGAGTTTAAATTATTTATTTTGGTTAGCGACTTTTGTATCAAAATTGTTTTCTATGAGGTAGGGTTGCTAACCGTATGCCTAACCCTCCTTTATCTTGGCTTGGGATCGGCAGCAATCGTGAAAGAGCTTTAGACAAGATTTTCTGTTTACGTTAATCAATAGTTATTATTTATTCGTCTTTAAGATTATTGGGTTCAGAAGCTGAACGACTGGATCTATGAAAACGTTTGCAACTTTTAGTTATTTTCAAGTATAGAAACAATTCATATCTTTGCATGTTAAACAATTTCCGATTGTTGCGTTGTGAATATCTGGTCTTGATCTTAAATCGATGTTCGTTAAACAGTCAATAATAATCAGATATAATCTTTTACATATTATTTTAAAATTTATTATTAGTGATATCAGTTGGGTTTGAATTATGGATGTATTGTGTTGTGTGAAACCACACTTCCTGAATGATAAAGCTACTCAATTACACTCTTATTGTCTCATTTATCCTATTCGGACTTGCGTTATTTTAATTCGGTTGTTTATTTATTTTGAAGAAGTGTCTTACATTAAGTCACGAAACATCAGAAATACAATTTTTTTACTCATTGGGATGTAACAAAAATATATTTATTACTAACTCTTATTGTTGATTTCAACTCGTACTCGAAAATTCTTGATACAAACTTATAATGGGGCTCAAATGAGTAAGATTATGTATACAGTTAACAATTATGTTGTTATATTTATTGCTGAGTTAATGGAAGTTTCCTGAAGAAACAATTTCATTTTTTTTTTAGCAAAGTAGTGCTTTACAATCTCTTCAATAGTTCTATGGTGAAATTTTCAGGAATACCCTCTTCCAACCCTAAATCTTATTATTATAATACAAAAGTAACAAGAAACAGTAAATTCAAAAATTAAATCTTTAATACTCTAGTTGAAGGTTGGCCCAATAAATTTCCACAAAACACTTGCTCAGCAGCATAAGTAATCCAATTATTAATACTTTTCTGTCTAAGAAACTCTGATATATTTAAAATTAAAAAATAAGAAGATTAACACAATATGGATTGCCGATTCACTTATCATCCATACGGTGATCACATATATTCTGTTGTGTTAATACAGCTACTGCCTATTTGTGTAATTAAATAATTACAATAATAACCAGTTGAATTATAAGAATTTCGGCAACTTGACAACGTTACAATTTATATATCCAACAGTATTTCATGAGATTAAGCAAATGTTATTTATAATAATTGCTGAGCGATTGTCAAGAACTCTTAACCTACGATCGTACAAATATATTGAATAACTTTAAATAAGGTTTATCTTCGTGTTAAATATCTTCTATATACGCATATTGTTTAACTGAAAAAAGACAGGTATTTGTTGAACATTTGTCCTTATCTTGTAGTAATTATTTATTCAACATCATCATCTGATCACGATTCGATATTAGTTCATATTAATCCTGAACATATCAGTAATAATGTAGTGAATGTCCACACAGGGGGGGGGGACAATCAAATGTATTTGAGTACAAAATTACAGAATTTATTAATTAAATCTGAAAATCATACAATAAATACTCTATTTGTAAAATATCCATCAATTGTCTCAGACTTTGTTATTCATTCGTTTCTATACCTGTCACTTTCTGTTCTCGTTCTCTTCATTTCGATTTTCTTTACCTTCTGCCACCAGGCATTCCACTTTTGATTGGGGATACATGCTACTCATATCTGTCAACACCAGTAGCACACACCACGATAACATTTAATTTCTTTATTATGAAATATTTTTCTATTTCGATATTCAATTTTATTGATAGGATGGAACCTGTAATAAATAAATCTTGATCTGTTCTTTTAAAAAAGGAAACCAATTTTAGTCGAAAGAATAAAGCTACATAATACAGTATAATATGATATCAGTTATATTGATGGCCATTCTCACTATTGAGAACCATAACAATGAATTCAATAACTTTTTAAAACTTATTTTCTATGCTTAATTTATTTTTTAAACAGGAGGTTAAATGCTACGTTGTTTGGTATACAACATACATTAATAAAAGAATCATGTGATGCTTCTTTCATTTTCATAATTACCTTAGTGTTTGATCAAAAAACCAGGAATAATAACAAATGTATAAAATATCCTTTTTTTCTATCATATTTGTCTTTTTTTCCAATTACTGCTTTTATATATATATATATATATATATATATATATATATATATATATATATATATATATATATATATATATTGAAGGAATGGATGAGATCTACTTAAATGTGTAATTACTTTTTGTAAATGAGTATATGTTTAACTTTCATGATGATTACCTCTCAAGAGAATGTAATATAAAATGTTATCATTCAATCCTTACCCTACAAGAACTTTTATTCATTGCTTTCTTTTTTACTTTTTATATACGAAAATAATATAGAATCTCTTGTTGATAAAATTGTAGCACTTTTCAATATATATTTTACATATTTTAGTTTGGTGTTATTATCATCTCATAATCTCAGTATTCTTAATTAGGATCTTTTAAGTAGTATATACTGAGACATGTTGTTAATATTACTATTTGTTTTTTTAACCATTTTTAAAAATCTCTTTGGCTGTGATTTATTATTATTATTATATTATGTAGTTCTAATAATCTTCGTCTTTTCATTGCATTATCCAGATGTATTCAAAGGACTAATTGTTTTGAATATGATTTATTAGTCACATTATGTGAATCTGTTTTGATTAGGATTGAAATATCATATAATATTTAAATGTTCTAATTGGTCTGTGATAGATACTGTTGAATGCACCTCTTCATACCTCATTATTTTTGTCTTCTGCTTTTCATTTAAATTTTTTTCAGAAAACATGGTTTATAAGCAAGATTATGCACTTCACTTTTAAATACATATACATTGTCTGATTAAGTCATCCCTCTATCTATCTATGTCGTCTCATTCATTCAGTACTTATATAGTACTACGCTGCATTCTTAACGTTATTATTAATAAAATCGAAGGTTTTCTCACTAAATCGCGAAAGGAATTAAGTAATACATGTCCAGTCAGTGTGTCAGTTTTTGTTATTAACTTTATATATAGGTTGATTTGTCCTGTCTGCTTTGCTTCTATAGGATGAATGTATTCAATATCATTTGAATATTTCGATCGAATCGGCTAACGAGGGAGTATGAAATAGTGTTATTCCAACTTGTTAATAATTACTCGAATAAATGGTCGTCTGATATGAGAAGAAGAATGATTATACTTCTTATAATGTTAAAACAGTTGAAGTTTGTTAGTTTAAATTATACAGATTTGTTGTAAAGTTAAAATTAAAATTAGGATTCAAAGTGGCAACATGCTGGTATGTTACTTTGTCTCTTTTAGTGAAAACAGTAAGGTGAAAATCAGAGTTATATTCCAAACCACAGAATTACCTAATGACAAACCTTTTGTCCTGCAAGTTTTGCTATTCCCAACAAACATAAAAATTGAAATCCGTGTGATTATTAAAGAGCTTAGAATGGTCGGTAATGTTTGTTAGACTGTTGTGTGATCAAATAACAGGAGTTGTTGAGAAAATATCAGACACCAACGTAAATGGCATTGTACAGTAGGATAAAAAACAGAATAACAGTCCTAAAAACTAATTTAGATGTGTAAAAAACTCTAGTAATAGAATCTTTCAAAATCGAATCAGCGTTTAGTATGTCCAATATTAGGGATGTTAATATTTTTCTTCCTACAATTCCAGCAATATTTGTTATCATTTTTTAGAAAGGAGGAATCGAAAAATTGCACATACAATATTTAATTCGGATATAAAACAGACAATGGGTTTTAAAATATTGTTTTTCTGCTAGGTTACATAAGCCTCCAAGCAAAAAGTGGAACCAGTGTTATGGAAAATTAAATTGTCAAAAACAAATATCCAATATCTTTGAAAGATTATTCCAGTACTGTGTTTTATATACAAATCTTTTGATGTCTTATCGTTAGGCTTCGGAGTTCTAGGATAGAGGAAATCCTAGAAATCAAACAGACATAGAGATCCTTCGTTAAAGATTTGACTATTTAGACTGGAGATCTAGTGTTATCATATATTACAGAACGAAAAATATTTTTAAAAAGTGTGGTTGATTATTGCCACTGGTATTTGGGACTTGTCAGCTGAATGTACCTGGATCTCAATGCTAATGTTAACGCGAAGTGAATCCAGATGACCAGTCCAAAATAGGACAGAACACGTGTCCTAGATTCTATTGCTAACTAAAATCAATATATTTTAAATAACTTGTAACATAAAGGTTATGTAGTGAGAATCCGCAAAAGAAGCTCTTATATCAATCAAAACTGATCGAAATTCAATCCTTAGTATCGACAATATGGATATTTCACAATATTATTAATAATGATATAAGTCAGTTAATTAGTTAACTTTCGGAGTAAATTATAAACTGAATTTAATCAACGTATATCGTTACGTTTTCAATCAAATTAGACTGGCAATAGTGTGTTTACTGGATAATATATAAAATACACATATAGATAATTAATTATATTTCAATACAATATAACTTTTCAGCTAAAGAGAATTCATTTTAATCATTCATTTATTTATTTGATTATAAACATCTAAGACATTCCATCCTAATTTTGCAGAAATACTTGAATATTATTTCTAATGTTATACAATCATTAAGGATTTATAACAGTAGAATTTGAAGAGGAAGTGATCGGAAGTAATTGTTTACTCAAATATTCTTTTGTGATATATGTATAAGAAAATAAATAGCATAATAAGAAATTGAGATCGATATTGTACTCAAAAAAATTTATTTGAATATCATTATAATTATGGTCCGATTAAGACAAAAAAGTACTTTGTATTGAATGATCAGACTTTATTAGTTAGCAGTTTGTTGTATTCGGAACTTATTGATTATATATAAATTTACTATTCATAACTACTTACGACAGTTTTGCAAAATTATACAGCTAACAAATGAATACGAATGTGATTGTAGAAATGAAAGATTGAGGAAAAATTTACTAATAAATGAGATGATCATTGGTTACTCATTTTGTTATACATAACTTGTTTCAAACTTTGCATATGATGATTTTCTCATGTACAAATTGTTATTGTAATCTAAAGAATTGGACAGTAAGTTCATGGATTAATATCACTTCCTAGTCTACAGGCCACTAGCTTTCTTCCAACCTACTTTTTCATTACCAAGCATTACAACAGTGCAGTTCAAAATAAGTTTAAAAATAGTTTTGCCTAATCAGCACTGAATAGATGCTTCTCGAGAACATCTAGAAAAATGAAGGAATGTGTATTACGTTTTGACTAGATAGCTACTTATTTTTTTTACTATATTTAAAATGTCTCAAGAAGTTTTTAAAGAATTAAAATCATTGGAAAACCTGTAAACAAACGTAATTCTTCACATATAGATTAAACACGGAACAAAGCATCTACTCACATTTCACTCCGTTTTTCTATTGTTTGAGTCCAAGGGGAGTAGTATTGAAATTTAGGAACCAGTTAGGAAGTCAGAGACAAACGTTCAAGTGGAAGACTAATCAATTAGTCAAATCATTTGCAATTTATACATATTATCCTATGTGTTTCCTCGTCTTCTACTCATCTGGAGATCTTGGTTTTTAACAATTCTTTCTTAATATCCATAAAAAGTAAACTACATT